CCCCACCTTTTCTCCCCAGGTTCGGCCGCAAGAACTGTATCATGTTCTTCGTGGTGGTTCTGGTGGTCAGTTCTATCGCCAACGTATTCGTCTTTGACATCCCCTCACTTCTGGTCCTGAGGTTCTTCGCGGGCTTTTCCACCACCAGTGTCTACATGGCCAACTTTGTGCTAGGTGAGTGAGGGTGTGTGTGTGTGTGTGTGTGTGTGTGTGTGTCTGTGTCTGTGTGTGTGTGTGCGCGCGCGTGTAAATGTGTGTGTGTGTACGTGTGTGCATGTATGTGTGTACGTGTATGTGTCTTTGACATCCCCTCACTTCTGGTCCTGAGGTTCTTCAAGTGCTTTTCCACCACCAGTGTCTACATGGTCAACTTTGTGCTGGGTGAGTGAGGGTGTGTGTGTGTGTGTGTATGTGTGTGAGTGGGTGAGTGGGTGAGTGAGTGAGTGGGTGAGTGAGTGAGTGAGTGAGTGTGTTTTTTGTGGTGCGTGTATGTGTGTGAGAGAAATTTGTCTGTGTGTGTTTTTGTGTGTTCATGTGTGTGTGAGTGAATGTGTGTGTTTGTAAGTGTATGTGTGTGTTTGTGTGTATGAGAGAGAGAATCTATGTGTGTGTGTTTGTTTGTGTGTGTGTTTGTGTGTTTATGTGTGTTTGTGAGTGTGTGTATGTGTGTATTTGTTTGTGTGTGTGCGTGTGCATTTGTGTGTATTTGTGTGTTTATGTGTGTGTGTATGTGTGTATGTGTGTTAGTGTGTGTGTGCGCGTGTATGTGTGTGCATGTGTGTGTCTGTGTGTGTATGTGTGTGTAAAATATGTTATGCTTACCATTAGAAGTGTTTTAAATCAAACTAAATGAAAAGGAATAAATTTGTTTATATCTTTCTTCTATCCTTTCTTTCTTTGTTTCATTCATTCTTACCCTCCTCATAGTCTAACTCATTAAAAAAATATAACAACAACCATTTCGTGTTTTTTTTCCCACTTCAACCACCTCTACCCCTACCCCATCCCAAATACCACCCCCTTCTCACTGCAACACCCCTCCTTCCATCCCCTCACTCCCCC